TTCATAATCTCAGTGATTTTACTCTTGCTTCTTTTTATTTCCATCAAATGCAACTGTCATGATACTGTTCACTTCAGTTTTTTGTGAATTTTGTCACACACAGATGGCAACACAAGTGCTCAGCCACTAAGAACCTAGTAGGCCCTAGGGACCATGCCTGATTTCCATTCCTTAAATTTCCTTTCTTTTTCTAATCCTTTTCATATCCATACTACTATTATCACTATTACTATCATGATTACTATAAATCATTTTTAAAATTCGAAAAATGAAGGAATCAGGTAAACATGTGAGCTAGGGAGGGCTAATAATTGACTCCCTGGAGACATGGCATTTGTGGAGCCATCTCTGTGTCAACACAATTAATAAGAGAAGATTACAGTGGGTTTTGTAATTATCTTTATTATCATATTTCTTTTAACTCTGATTATCTTTCCAACTAACAATTCTATAATGGGTAAAATGTACTATATTATAATATCAACAATGACTATATAAGCAAATTTCAAATTTACCTCTAAGTCCCACTTTCGATCTTGGAGATAAAACTGTGCACAAGCTTCATCTGTTCCTGTTATTTCAGCAAATTGTTCAACCAAACTCTGCAAGGTAAAGGAAAAATAGATACTGAGATTTGGTCAGTCAGTAAAATATGCACCTCAAGAAAAGTCTGATCTTATATCATTATTCTTAGATAAAATTCAATAATATTGCAGATAAGTCTCCACACATGGATAACTTTTTCCACAGAACTTTAACATTATAAAAATAAATAAGCATACAGAAATACCCTAATACAAAGACAATGCACATCAATTAGCATATGATAAAGTCAGAGTTTTGGAGTAATTTGAAATACATAAACCATACATAAACACATAATAATATCTAAGATAGAATGTCTTTCAATTCACAAGAAATTTCTGTAAATTTTAACAAATCATTAATCATTAAAACACTGGGTGCATGGGAATCAACCTGATCTTCAGTCCGAGCTGGTAACTTCCAGAACCAAGAAACTGCTTCACTCTCTCTTGTTCTCATCCGTTTAAGATTACAAAATACCTGTCCTATTACAGGAAAAAAGTATGCAAGACAGTAAATGCACAATTCAAACAAATATATTTTTATCTGTGAGTAATCAGCAACTTTGCCAAAATCAGCTTATTCTCTATATTGTATCTTTTGTACAGTTTTACTAATGAATGTTCTCTTAATATGCAATCCATGTATTAACATGAACCATGAATTAGATATCAAACAGAACAAATAAATTACTAAAACTAATAATAATGTGAGATTTAAATGCTCACCATGGAAGCTGGAATCAAAAACTAAACCTAAAATACACAAACAAACTAGGAACTTCATGAGCAAAAATAATACCATACTATTAACCCCTTACATCCTGTTGCCTCACAGCAATCACATGGCCCAAAATATGAGCATTAGGCTAATGTGAGCAGCCACTCTGATGGGTGCATGGTTTATAGGACAGGCACACGCAAACATTCAAGGGCAGTGACAGGAGACTATGCCTCCCCTTTGCAATGTTATTTTCTCTTTTTATGCATAAGCATTTTTAGCTTTTTTGTCATTTTCCCATGTCCATAATGGTCATTTGATTTGCTTTATCCAAATGGTAATAGACTGCACAAGACTCCATATAGTAGTAAATAGCTGGGTGCAAAAAAATAAATATACATAACATTTTGTCATGGGGGCCAGGAATAGGAGGCAAAGCATGGAAATGGCCTCCTTCTTGAAGCTGGCACTCTTCCAGTTATGGTTCACAGACATGACATTTTACACTCGTTTATAAATGGGAATAATGCAAAAGCCTCTTCCTAGATGTCAAATGAGTCTAATCACCCTCCATGAGGTTTGTGCACTCATGGCAAGTCTTTTCCATCACCCAACCTTTACTCATGACAAGAAGTTTGCGTCACCCAACCCTCAAGCCAATTTTTTCATGTCAAGATGTCACGTCATCTCGACTGAAGGAGTCAACATCTGGTTAGACAATAAGAGCAGACCCCAGGAATGCAAAGATGACCTTGGCATCATAGAACATAACATTCAAAGACACTTCTCTTATATAGCATTTCCTTAAGTCTATCATAATAGTAGTAGAGAGGACGTCAAATCAAAATTTTCACGTTATTTTCGCAGATACATCACAGCAAGCAATGACATTGTATGGGCTGCAATCTATGAGCAAAGGAAATTTATGGTGCAAGCAATAGGGATAATTTCTCACTCTTAATAATGATCTTTTGATGTGACTTAATAATCAAGTGATTGTTATTCATGTTTGCTCTTAAATATGGATAAACCTTGTTTTGTTAGTTATGTTGGGATTCAAATATCTGCAAGAAAGAAAACAGGGTGCAACCAAGAACGATCATAGCTGCGACTCAGGATCGGCTTCACTGCATCCATTTGCAAGTTTTCCAACCTGGTAAGATGAACATTTTGCGGACCAGGTGGAGGTATGGGATAAAGCAATCCCTCTTGAGAAGGGGTTTTGAGGGCAAAGCCTAATTACACTTTTACTTTATATGTGATGTTACCTTTTCAATGATAATAAGAGGTATCCATTTTTCCCAATTTACATTGTTTATAAGGTCTGTTAATTGTTGAGAATCATTTCATCATCATTCTAAATTTTTCTGTTACAAAATCTCCTCTCATTAAGAAATTACAGAATTTTTTTCTAATACATCCACAAAACAGATTGCGACAATTCCAGTATCATTGGATTCCTTTCACCATCTACAATGCAAATGTGTAGGTTTTATTGTATGGAAGCCCCCTAACCCCCATATTCTTGGCCCTGATAGCAGAGGAGGGCATGAAAGGTAGTAGGAAAATCTGGGTAAAATGTCAATAATATACATAGAATCATGTCACTATATTGTTTAATGCTGGATGCTGTGCCCCCTGCGACCAACCCATGGGAGGGTGCCACCTCCCAACTCCACTCAGGAAAACAAAAAATTCTCCACATCCACAGCAGGAGAGAGCTTCAGACTCACTTGGTAACAAAGCTCCCGCATGACTGTCATACGCTCTCTCCTGCCATGAATATATGGAGGATTCTTTGTTATCCTGGGTGGGGGTTGGGGGTCAGCAGCCGCCCCATGGGGCACAGCATACTGCATTAGACAATATGGTGACTGATTTTAGGTATTACTGGAAAAAGGCGTCACCAAAGAATCAATGAAAACTGACCTTACACCCTTGAAGATATTTAATTAATTATAATTTTTCATTAAATAAACGCCTTGCAAATGACTAAAAACGTTATTCAAATATCAAAATAGATAAAAATAATATTAAAAACTATTAGAAGCTATGAATTCCAATTTTCAAATTAGTATCGCCATGACTTCTGTGTGTGTAGGGTGTCGTATGAAACCATGCCAAGTTATAAAAATTATTTTGAAGACGATGAGGGTAACTATTACATGAACATGGAGTTTAACCTGAAGTGCCATGCGACTGGCCATCTCGGCACCGCTCGATGCCGAGTCTGTCCGACACTCTCTCCTGCCGTGAATATGTGGAGGATTCTTTGTTTTCCTGGGTAGGGGCTGGGGGGGTGGCAACCCCCATTATGGGGTTACAGGGGGCGCAGCCCCTTGCTTTGGACAAAACAGTGACTTCATCAGTACTGTGATTACAGCAGTGGAAAATTTGGTTGGTATTTCCTTTCAATTGTGTGAATCTCACCTCCTTCTAATATTATTTGATCATTTAATTACTACGTTATTTTTCATTTGCATGACAAGCTTATTCAATAAAAAGTGATAATTAATTATATATCTTCAGGGCTGTATGGTTAGTTTTTATCGATTCTTTGGTGAAGCCTTTTCCCAAATTTACCTGATTCTATGTATATTATTGACATTTTACCCAGATTTTCCCCGGCACCTATCATGCCTCTCCTGCCGTCGGGGCCGAGAATGTGGGGGTTGGGGATTTCCGCGCATTTAGTGTATTTGGAAACTAGAAACTGAGAGGAATCCAACGACACCAAAATCATCACGATCCGTTATGCAAACGTAACAGAGAAAATACCGAAATTACATACCAGGTCAAAATACGAATAAACGAAAAATACCGCACAACCACTCGACCAGAATCTTCCGGGTAGCCATTTTTTAAATCTTAAAATGTCTCTCACACAGCAAAAACATACATTCTGCCCTTACAACTGTTATGAAACTACCTCAAGGTCCCAGCACTACCTGACAAGTTGCTACATCCGGAATGTCCTCATCTTCATCCTCTTCGTCGAGAGAAATAACATCTTGCTCCTGAGCGGTCATGTTCGGTTCTTCCCTTTGTTGACATGGATTACGAACGCAAAGCGTTTTAGGTTTGAGGGTTATTTTGCTTTTGTCATATTGTATGTACTGTTATTTTCTGCATGTAAAGGTTTTTTAAAAATTATAATTTATAAAAGTGTGCATTCCCATGTTCCAGTTTGAAATTAAGGCGCCCACTTTTAAACCGTCGTAAAACCTCAGGCGGAGAACCGCCACCCTCTCCTCCCAAACCAGTGATCTATTCTACATATCCCTAAGAGGTCATTTGAATGAAAGAAAAAAAATAAACGCTAATCATGTCATGACACCTGCTGAAAGGTATTAATGATATGTGCCTTTTCATGATATTCCACAGTAGTCAAATAATTGATACTTCCCAAGCGGTTCTCTTTGGAAGGTCCAGAAAATAATATAAATATGTTTTGGGTTCCACTTGCCCTAGGTCGCCATAAACCATCTCTTTATCGCACTGCAATTATCAAAAGGGACTAATAAAAGTCAGTTCCCTGAACCTTTTGGTTTGCTGAAAATTTGTGGGATATGTTGAAAAGTGAGTTGAACGTCTAGGGTAAATTTTATTGCTAAGTGATTATTATATACGAAAAATATTTTTGTGTTATGTGTATCTTTAACGCTGTGTTCTCTTTAGGACCACAAACACCCCAACCAACGTAACCGTGCAAACCGCCAATTCTAACCGGTTTGCGCAATCCCAGAGTTGCCAAGCACTGCTCGCCGTCGTCTGCCTGCGAGGGGAGGCGACGGCAGTGGGCGAGAAGGTCGTGTACCTACTTGCCCTACCCTTTGCAGCGGCTTGCACGCATCAAAAGAAGGATATAGATGTGCGTGTATATATAATATATATATATATATTATATATATATATATATATATATAGATATAGATATAGATAGATATAGATAGATAGATAGATAGATATATAGATAGATAGATACAATATATAATATATATATATATATATGCAAATATATGAAACTACATATATACGTATATATGTGAATTCAATATATACACATATACCAACAACTTCATAGCTTGTCAGAATCGTGTTTTGACTTTCCCTTCGGAATTAATCGGAATCAACAGAATATTTCTCTCTCTCTCTCTGTTTCTCTCTTTCTCTCTCTTTATCTATCTATCTATTTCTATCTGTCTATCTCTCTACTTCCTGCTGTATATCAAATCCTCTAAGCACTCTTTGCTTTTAACTTTCAACAAACAAGGTTATGTGCGATCCAGTTCTATAAAATCGCTTTCTGTGATGCCTGTCATATCACGGGAGACGTTGCTCGGCGATGGCAGCGTCAAGGTCCATATAATTACCTTGGGCAGCGTCTGCACCGAATCGACGCACACGCCCCCCCCCTCGCCCCCTCGCCCCTCGAGACCTGCAAGGCCTGGGTTAAGGCAAACATTTGTGGGAACTGACAGCACAGATGCAGGTCTCGGCTCACAGTTGTCAGGAAAAAGAAATGGTGAATAGGTACCATTAAAATGTGGTAAACGCACTATTTAATGAGTTATTTAAAAATAGATTATCCTATAATGGCTCTGAATACATATATTGAATTACATATTGTATTTTGGCTTATATGTGCCAGTGGATGCCTTTCTGTAAGTAGAAATGTATACAATTGTTGTTTCAGTGCGTGCAGTAAGAACATATAAAACTAAAGAGTAGAGACTATTGTTGTATGTGTTGGCCTATAATTGGTTTCGTCTCGTATGTGGTCCTGAGGGATTCATTCTCCAACTTTAGTTTAGTTTAGAAAATAATATATATATACGAATTATCAAGTTATCATTCTCTAACATGTTTCCAAATTATACCAACTTTGGCACCGTACCCAAAATCCCCAAATCAAAAAATAGCAGGTTTGACTTCCATGCGATGTATCAACCCAGTTGATCTGACAGTAAATATTAATAAATTTCGTAAAAATGTATAATGTCGCAAAACATTTCGACAGCAGACAACCAGGGATGCAGAAACAGAAAACGCGGCGAGGCAGCTGGTCGAGAATTTGACATGAAGGGACAAACGCAAAATAAAAGAAAGGAATAATGTGAAGTAGTCTTCAGGAAACCCTTAAGAGCCGTCGAGATGTGAGACTGCTAAGGATGTAAGACGAGAGATGACTCATCTCCTGTGTAATTCACACTGAGGACACCTCAATAGCATCTCGAGCACCTAACCTCCGAAGGTCGTCCCAGAACTCTTCTGCCAAAGAAACTGTGACCGTGCAGCCAAGGCTGACCCAGAGCGGTTGACCAAGATCCAGTCGAGTGACCTGGTCAGGGAAGGGGGCGCCAGCAGCAACAGGAATGCCTTCAGGCAATTCTGACTGCAAATGTCCCTCTTTTTGATGTAAACATGATGCACTTCAAAGCAAACACCCGCCTAACAGTAATGTATAAAGGCCTAAATGCCATCCGATCCTAATATATACGAAAAGCATCGACGAAAACTACTGTGGTTTCAATACGTCGCTTGTGGGAAAATCTTGATGCCCTAACCGCCGCCATCTCCTCCCAGGCTGATAACCTAAAGCGAAAAACTGCGCAGTACACTTTGAATAATGCGCCAGATGCCATTCATGCACACGTATATGCCCAGCACATATATATTCAGATCAACACAGACATTACTCCATCCTGTATGACCGAACGTCAGACCCCTTATGCAGTATGAATATTCCGAGCAGTGATTTCGAAAACAGGGTTGTGTAGCCGGTGGTGAGGTGCTGTATAAGTAACATGGGGGAGATACTAGGAAGTGAATGGCAAATCAGCAGTGAAAACCTGAATTATTATTACTCTTTACCATTAACAATGATATTGTCGGTTTTGCTGTTGTTTTTTATGGTTAGTTTTTGTGATATTGGTTAATCTCATTTTCTGCTTTTGTACTTGTGATAACAGCACCATTGTGAGCGACAGAATATTAACAATGGTAATAGAAATGGTAATACAAGCAATGAGACATCTGCAGTAATTCTGATATTGATGGTATGAATGATAAAAAAGCATCGAGATCATGATGATAGTGATGGTGGCAATGGCTCTGGAAATGGAGATAATGGGACTGACACTGCTGATAACAACCATGAAAGGATAAACAGTAATAATGACAGAAATGCAGTAA